GTTGGTGCTTAATACTATATTACATCTACTGAACATAACGCAAGGCGCAAAGGGAAGTGGGCATATCGATGGCTATGATTACTTCATAATTTGGCTGTTAAAGTCTAAACACGTGACTTACGGTACTTTGCCATTTATTTTTATTTCAATTACTTTACTATACAATATATTTTTTTTAACGTTTGAACAGAAAATGGGATGCTCAGGCACCGTGAGAAACCCCATGATTACGCCACTAAAGTAATATGCAATCTTCCTTATATTAATATAATTAGGACCTGCCACAATTATGGCATTAGCCATTTGTCTAACTGTCATTTAGACTATCATCAATGATAATAAATACTTGATAAAAACGTTTATGTCCCCATCGGGACTATCATTAATATAAGTCTTACCTATTATCATCATAATAGCCTTCTTGTTGTTTTTGTTGGTGCTGTTGTTGTTGTTATTGTTGTTGTTGTTGCTGTTGTTGTTTAATAACTACAAATGGTGTTTATTATACATTTTCTACAAAAGTTATAAAAATTGTATTAAAAACTGTGAATTTGATTTTTAAATGAATATGAATAAATTTATTTGATTAATGAACGAGTGGACGAAGTAGTGAATGAATGAACGAACGAACGAAAGCATGGATGGATGGATGGATGGATGAATGAATGAATGAATAAATGAATGAATGAAAAAATGAATGAATGAATGAATGAATGAATGAATGAATGAATGAATGAATGAATGAATGAATGAATGAATGAATGAACGAACGAATGAATGAACCATTTTACATTCCTATGACATATAATAAATCAAAAATTAAAATTGATAAATAACTTACTGTTCTGCTGCTTTGTATATAGTCTTATAGTCGGTGTTTGTTGATAAGTTACGAAGCGCTGAGCTGGCAACTTGAGAAAAATTTCCCTCACTGCTGTCCGACGTATAGGCCTCCACAAGAATGTCGTGACCCCGCGCAACACAACAATATAAAATCGGCATATTTACACCCAGTTAATCTGTATCCCAAGTCTAGTTTCAAAAAAGTAAACCTGGAAAGAAAAAGATTAGGACTACGATCAGAAAAAAAATATATATAATATAATAGAAAAGTGGTGATGGGGTAAACTCGATGACAACACGTCCTCTGACTGTCAACACAGTGAGATTTCTGAAAGACATAACTGTATCTTGATGAGCTACTGGTAAACTAAGGGAATTTTACAAAAATGTTTTAGATGAGTCATATTCTAAATATAGTCTTAATCATGTGCACGAAGTGCATGCCCATCCTCAATTCAGCTGCAAGCAAGAGTTTGTTTATCAATCGTGATTTAAAGAAACAGCATGTGCAACATGGAATTTAGGCCTACACTTAGAAACAAGGTAACCTGGGAATTTCAGAAATATATGCTGTTTAAAGACTTTCACAGAATATATTAAGGAAAATGTAAGGAATATAAATTATATTATATATAATATATATATATGCACATATATATAGGCCTATATAACGTTATCACAGAATACAGTGGCAAATAACACTTTACAGTATAATTGTGATGACGACAGTTTATTTATTACTTATATTTTTTATTTATTGATTTAATACTTGCTATTTTAGAGTATTTAAATATTTGAAGATTTGAAAAAAAAATAAATATTTTTATTACTGAATTTTATCATTTGGGGCCATTTGCACCTACCTGTCATTTGGGGCCATTTTTACCAGGGCCAATTTTACTGGGGTCATTTTTACCGGGGCCATTTTTACCGCACACCAGTAAAACACATCCAGTGGCTGAAAGTGTTTCTATCAATTTCCACTGTAAAATCGGTATAAATTCACTAATTTCCATGTTCAAGTTGATCATTTTATGTTACTTCAAAATGAGCAAGTTAATTTTATAAAATAATTTTTTTGTGTAGTTTGCATAGAACATTATATCTTTAACTGGGAGCCTATGATTTTAAACAATATTGTAGGACCTTCCATTGTCAGAGTGACGATGCATCGATCGTCAGATATAGGATAATAAGAGCAGGGTATAAGAAACAGATTACTACGTCCGCCTATCTTGTTTCACTTTTAATTTCTATTTCTGAGTATTTCGTGACTTATACACCACTTGAAAATAGGAGCCTAGCAATCAGACGTACCGATTAGCATCAAATTAAATAATTTTTAGAAAAAGGCAAACTCCGTCTTATGAACTCAAGATGAACCCTTTGCTAATCCAAGCATGACATGCACCGACGATATATCAGGGGTGGCGCCAGTGGGGCCGGGTGTCTGGGCCCCGTCGGGGAGAGCTGGTCCCTGCGTCGGGGAGAAAAACCAAAATTCGTCGGGGGCGGGGTGGGACAAATGTATATGTATTTTCTACATATATATTCCAAAATCGATTAAATAAGCCGTAGAAACTCCTAAATTGTCATATTTTTCGGGACCGGCTTCGCCCCCAGGAATTATACGCTAACTATTTTTCGTCGGGGACATCGCCCCCATCCCCCGTCGGAGAACTCGGAACCACACCCCTTGTCGGGCAAATCCTGGCGCCACCACACTGATCCTAATAACAATATCCATTTCCGGAAAAAAATTTCCATGGGATTCTAAGGGAATTCCCAGGATAGGCCCTGTAGACTCTCTGAGCGGAAAACCTGGGTCACGAATATAAAATCGCAACCAAACAGTGCGCATTTCCAAGTTATTTTGCATTCTCTACTTACTTGACGCAAACGGTTATAGAACAGGGAACAGTGAAAGTACTGTCCCCTGTTATATATACTTAGCAAACTGTCTATGAAATTGCAGGGCTTGGCAAGAAGTCTCATGGGTTCACTTCCTCTATATTGAACACCGTCTGCTTATAGCAAGGCTAAACAACGACACAAACACTAACAACTGAAAGCAGTCATTCTACTTACGTTTACTGTAGGCCCGTTACCTGATCAAGAGAAAAGGTTAAATCCTAACATAAATAGATACCGTGTCTTGCGTTATTTTAGCATAGTGCTGAGCATAAATCGCGAAGGCTCTTTTACGTACAGGCGATCGCTTTTTCAAACGCGATGGAGCTGAGTCACTATTGCTCATTTGGATGACGGTAAATGGTTCGTCTTCCTTTTTTTATAAAGTCAAATTAGTTCCAATGCGGCTTGAGGCGTTTCGGCATGCCTGCTCATGACTGACGCTGCACGTCTTAAACTGCGGTGGTTGAACTTTCTTATCATTCGCCATTATTTCTACCCTTCCTGTTATACTGATACACTTTTGAAGTCCTTAGGATGTCGTCAAATGTAAGTCCGGATTACAGTTATTCGGGGTACTTTTAAATTTCCTAAAATGCGGACCCAGATAGAGAATCTTGTTAGGGTCTATTTATAGGCGAAACTCTTAATGCCCATACATTCTTAGATGATTTTAAACAGATAACGCTTTACGATATTGTAACTCCGCTGAAATATAAAATATAAGAAAAATATATTCAATGATATATAAATATGGTCAAGTCATTCATATTAAATTCTGTTTAGGGCCTAATGGGAATTTCATGGATCTCTGATAAAGTATATTATTGGCAATAGAACAATCATCCACCTACTTGCGGTGAAGTAAATCTAAATGTATTCATGTACAGTATGATTCAAAAACGTGAACAATATACAGTTGTAAATATCAACCAAAAACGTGCGTGCCGATACTTCAATGCTTTAGAAATAAAGAAAACAGCCTTGAGTGAATTCAAAAGATGCGAAACTGTTCATGACTTGTATTTTGTAAAAAAAAAAAAAAGTCATACTACTTGCAGTGTTTGGTGGTACGTCAGTGGCAGTTTCAAGGGTCCAAGCCTGCCAGCTGGGCCCTTCCCACTACATCTTTCAAAATTTATTTTTAAAATGGAGGGGAAAAAAATAGGGAAAATTATATTATTTAAAAGGGAGGTGCCATAATCATAAATTTAGTCCCAACCATGAAGTGAGACACCCTTCTTTGAACGTACATCCATGGCCCACCCTCTATTTCGAATTCCATCCGCGCACTGCACGTACAGTAATGTAAATTGTAATGAACATGAACAATAATTATGGCCTCTGAAACTATTATTGAGGGGTCTTTAGAGGTATACGGATGCTTCGTTATATATATTTTAGATCCATAGGCCTACTGAAGGGGACCCCAATAGCCCAGGACCCCAGTGCTTTGCCCTGGATGCACTTCCCATACCTACGCCACTGTATGGAAGTCCTATCAGCCATAGACCTAATATTTGTGAAGTTGTTGGAAGTTGCAGAATTGAGACGGCGCTGCCATATATTTCTGTTATTCTAAAAGACACTACATGCATCAAAACACTTTCAATTGCATTAATTTTACAACGGAATTGATAAACAACAACTAGATTCCACTTTGATGTAATTACAATGATAGAAGAAAATGTCACCATCCACTTATAAGCAATTAGTACAGTTGCGTATCATACACTATCGGAAATTATTATACGAAGGTTAGATTAATGCATGAAAAATTTAAACAGCAGCAAAAAATAATCGTACAATGGCAGAAGTGCTTTACCTAAAATCCCACCAATAAAATTAAAACTCACAAAATGTTGCCACCTTCTGACCCCAGCTGCAATGTTTTTAGAATAAATCCAGTTCTCTTTTTGAGCTGACTCAATCATGCATAGCACATTATTCTGTCTGTTACAAGCTACGGGGGTGGAACCAGATCCGAGTATCAATATAAAGGTATGAGTGCAATGAAAGAAAGATATCACCCAATTTTCTTTGTCATTTTCGTGAGCATACAAAAGCATACGATCTTGAGGATGACATAATTAATGTCGAAAAATTGAATCCCGACACGATGGCGTGCATTTCGATACTTGGAGTATGTATTTTACTATCTTATAAGGAGAGGGGACAACAGTAATCTCGAAAAAAATGCAACAATCACCATCTTATTATGTACTGTCTTGTTGGAGAGTCGCATAAATGAGTATATTATTATTTTGTATATAGGCGAGCTAGGGCGATTCTATTAATTCAAAACGATTTGGGGATGCAATGATGCAAGTGATCTGCATTTGTCACTCTCCACCTAAAATTATAGATACGGTACCAGGTCTGATATGGATAAATGGAAATTTGTTAGTGCTGAATTACCGTACATGCCCAAGTAGCCTGGAGTTGCACATAGATTCTGTATCCTATGGCAAGGGCACGTCACACTGTTTAGTGTGGTAAACAGACTCATTGGCTACAATTTTATACTTGATAAGAATCTAATAAATATATATGGGCCCAGTCCTAAATTTTGTCTTAATCAGTGAAAACTTCGATATGTATTTGGCACCAATGGCGTTCCATACTACACCTTTTCTAGATTCGCATTACTCTTTTACAAGTCTCTTAAATTCGCATCCAAATTCAAGATTTCTTAAAATAAACCGACGAAATTAGCATTAGCTAATACTAGGAAAAAACAATAAATTAGAGACTTGCGGCAAGTTTAGGTTTACCAGTACGAAATTTTGGAAAATTAAGATACGGTATATACAGTAGTAAAAAGAACACAACACGATTTCAACGACTGCCACTCACAAAGTAATACTGATCTATGAACTGATAGGTCAATACCTGGCTATGGCCAAATAGATGATGATGGTAAAGACGATAACAATTATGATGACCACAACTACGATGACCAAGATTTTTTTTTATTTCCTTCACATCCAAACAGCAATTACACCTGCCACTTGCAGGATGGAATGATGCTTTATAAACCAAGTCTCTTTGCGAGGCTTAAGCTTGGTTTCCATAAACATCTCTACACGCTATCGCTGACTTCTTTGGCGACGCTGATTTGTCATTTGAATCGAGAAGCGTTTGCGTCAGGGACAGCTACGCAATGCAAGGATTGCAGTGAAAACGCTGTAGCGACTGTGTATCTACTTTATAGAATCCAGGCTTACGGTAGATTCATACCAGTTCGTATGGCTAACGAAATGAAAAAAAAAATTAATTCAGTGGTAAAGAATAGAGTAGTAGCAAGACGTGCATTGAAGACGTTCTACAAGCCGAATCCAAATTCGGTGTGAATTTAACTCAAAGCAACGTCCACATCATGCCCGGAGCCCAGACAAAAAATCGTGAGTTGCTACATTTTTTGAACGCTGCGTTCACATCGCGCACAGAAAGCAGTTGTTCAGGTTAAGTACGTATGCGTTTGATTGGTTCGAACCAACCAAGCTTTTTGCTTTTTGGTCCAAGAAAAAAAAATGTACGATTTCAGGATACAAATGGCTCTCAGATCCACCAGTCCGGATTAGAAATCATACGAATTTGATGTGAACGGTCCTATTCTTTACCACTGAACCCATTTTCACGATTTTTTCTACAGAATCCAGGCTTGATGTGAACGTAGCTCTAAGGAAGTGAAGTTGTTTTTAGTGGTGAAAAAAGTTCTGTTGTGACAAGAATTGCACCCAGAACCCAGGGATTAGAAGGCAAGCACCTTAACCGCTAAACTTATTCAACTCCACTCAGGAGATGATGGGGATGATGATGAGGAGGAGGAGGTGGATGGTAATGGTAAACAAAAACACTGAGAACAAAATCTCTTACCCTCATCACTATTTTAATATCACGAAAATAGTATGATCCTTAATAGAAAATGCACAAACAATGATTACAATAAAAGGATACAAAGACAAACTAACTTTTACTGTACCTACATGTAAAGGAAGACAAAACAATTCATAAAATATGACTTAAATATGAAGAATATATAATTATGGATTCATGATTTGATGGAATCTAAGTCTACGAAAGAGGACAAAATACCCATCATGCAACTTGGTTCACATGATCATTTCATCAAATATCGACAACTGTAATTTTTTTTTAAATTTTACATAAGCAAATATTTAGCCACCGAACTGATTATTATACAAACACAATTCCATTTTTTTAATTAATTTTTCCCATGCAAATTTGACTTAACTAATTTTTTCTATTATTACAAATGAATTATCCTTTTTTAAGTAATCGATGGTTTTTTTACAAATTTTTTCAAACAATTTATTAATATTTATGTGAAGTTTAATAACAATAATATAAACTTTAGTAGACTTGATTCCAAATTATGCTTATTAAATTGCTAACACATTGTACATCAACAACACCTACCAACAAATTATACAAATCTATACCATACCAAAATAAACTGAATACTGCCAAAACTTGATTAAGTAAAAACACCCCTTGAAAAACAATGGAACAATCAGATTGGAACAGCCTGTAATATGTACACTCACCTGCAAATTAAAATTTTTGTTCTTCCGATTTTGAACCAAGAGGAACCAGATGCTATGAGCTGACTGTTTCACTGTTTTTTTAGGGGTGTAACCACTTTATCGAGTTTTGATAACATTTAGTATATCCCAAGTAAGTGTTTAGAAAAATAGTCAACACCGATAATGGAGTTGATGTTGATTTTGTTATTAATTATATATTTTTTTTTTGTAAATTAAAAACAGCTAGAAAATATTGGCAATAAGCATCAAGTAATTTAATGCAAAGGGTGTAATTCAGTTAAAAAATGTAACTGCATTAAAAATATATACAACTGCATAAAATTATATATTATGAAAGCAACTGTTTAGCATAATGTTCATTGAAGAATGTGAAGGTATTCATACAAGAAACAGAGAGAGAGTAAGTCCATTTTGCCCGATACACGAAGGTAGTATTGTTACAATATCCTAAAAGCTCACAAATACAAACTTGTTCATAATACTAAGCATCTATGTATAAAGGATAAATAAAGGTGGTATCTATAATTTGGGTAAAAAAAAGCTTTCTTGATACACAAGATTATAATATTATGCATTTCTGTATGAATGTTAATACACAAGTGCATAATAATATATGTAAAATATCATATGAACTATGTTTATTTACCCTTACTTTAAAAGCTAAGGTGGTTTAATTATGTTAGGAGCAGAGTTTGGTACACATGTTGATATCCCAAGTAAATGAAATACTATGTGTACATGTTTTCATCAGGTGGAGGGGGGCCATGGACTGGATAAGCTAAGGTCGTATCAAGCTCATCGTTATGCTGAGCTAAAGAGCTTTCTTGATATGCGAGCACTAGCTCTTTCAGCGTCTTGTACAAGTTGTAAGGCTCAGCGAAGCCATATCCAGTCGGTGTGAAATTTATCCTACAATGCCTCGTCTCCCTTTCTTTTGCACTGAAAAGATAAAAAAGAGATTTGAATGTTAAAATTATACTATATGAAAAATAACCATAAAACATTCAAATAAAACACTAAAATGTTAAAATAATTTTGTGTAAATGAGACAAACTTTTCTCTATGTAAATTTTAATTGAGCAGTAATAATTTACATAAGTTATGAATACTAAATATTGACCATATACTCGAGTATATAGAGGCTACGTTCAGACTTGGAGATAAGCTGGGCTTGAGTTAAGCCTGACTTAACGTTAAGCCCAGCTTAACTTTTCCGGGCGTTCAAACTAGCAGGATTAGCCAGGCGCGAGAATTTGCATAATAATTAACCGTAACCAAGAAACATGTTTCTAAACATTGCTCGCAAAACGTACGCTAGCTCACAGCGTACATAATTGAATGCTGATTGGTCATTTTGCTACCCGAAGTCAATGCAAGACCCCCCCCCCCCCGGCAGCGATTAAAGCCCGGCTTAGAAAAGTTAAACACGGTGGCAAACCAGGCCTAGTTACTATAGGAACACAGCCCGGCTTGAGATAAGCCACCTAGTTCAGACTGGCCTGTGGATAAACCCAACGAGTTGAGCCACCTAGTCTGAACTAGGCCACAGTAGCTCAACAAGGCAGTAAATGTGGCAAAAACAAGCTAAATCAGTCAATCCTTGCGAATAGTCAAAACATGTAGGAATGCCAAAATTTTCAAAATCTATTTCATTAATCTAAATTAATACAATATTTTCACCAAATTTTGAAATGATTCAAAATCTATTTTATTAATCTAAATTAATACAACATTTTCACCAAATTTTAAATGAAAATTTCCGATAACCTGGCAACTACCACTGGGGGCAGCATTTCACTCTACGTAGTTACCATCATGGAATAATTAAGCGATAAAACTAAATTCCTTTGAGTATGAACATTTTAAAATGAAAAAAGAAAGAAATGTTTATATTAAAAACAAGTTTTAAAAAGCTATTTCAATGTTTACATATACAGTAATTAGCAAGATCGTATATGTTGTCTACAGCTGCTATAGCAAAGGTCTAGCGGCGCGATCCGCTGTGCAATGCTCTATTTGTAACAAGTCAGCTGTTCAGGCTAGGCCGCTGGAAGTCCCCCAGTGAGTTGTGAGACGTTGGCAGCGCTGTTTCAAAATAATTCTGATACAATGGTCTATATGTCATGCTATGTTGTTATTTTCCCCATTTTCGACGCAAAACATTTTTTTTACAATTTAGTGATAGTTTCTGCCTAACAAATGTCTAAAATTGTAAAAGAAATACCAGATGAAAATGATTCTTTTACCATTTTCCAACTTTCAATGTACCGTTTAACCCTGTAATAATAACTAAAAAACTGGTTTTACTTGTCTGCCAAATACATTACATTGGTTTTTAAACCAATAAACAGTAGGCTAGTAGACAATCTAATTATTAAATGGGTAAGTTTTGAGGTGAGAAAAAAAACCCAGAAAATTGTTCATGAACGACGAACATATATATAGACAAGCAAGGATGTTTCCATTATTTGCTTCTATACTCAAGTTTCAATGGAAACTGACACTTGTCCTGGCAAGTAGCTCACATATAAAACACAAGCTTCATTATAGAGGGCAGTATTCATTATAGAGGGCAGTTATTAATTTACTTACACAATAGAACATGCATAATCTCCAGGCTTGCTACTGTTACGTATCAAGAATGTACCCTTAGCTTTGCTCCGAAGCAGTTGCTCTGCCTCCACCCGAGTAATGTTGGGCAGGAACCACAATGCCTCGTCTTGGTGTGGAAGGTCTGATTGCATTGGATTGTGATTACTACAAAGAAGAAAATACTTGTACATTAAAACTGAATCACGATGGTGTGTATTTTAATACTTGGAGTATGTATTATATTTTCTTATCTAAGATTAATCAGTGGGCCTTTAAGGTGAAACTGCAGTACTATGGTATTCAAACTTAGAAATGATCATGTTTATATATAACAATCAACATGCGGCATATAATATACAGAAAAAAAATACAAAATAATATTTTCCACATTCTTTGAAGTCCATACAACTTGGGTTTATATCCTGACAGGGGTGGTGCCAGGATTTGACCAACGGGTGAGACAATGTCGCCGATGGGGAGGCTAATTGCCCAGATAAGGAGGCCGATATCCTTGACAGAGGAAGCCAAAGTACCCGACGGGGGGTGGCAGGAATCCCCAATGAGGGGGCCAAAGTTCTCAACGGGATGTTCTATTCATCTCGGCTCAAACGAGCCAGCAAGTTCAACCTATTTTGAATCTATCAAAGGGAAAATCAATACAAAAATTCACAAAACCATTTTTTTATATTCTTTTCAGCAAACTGCAAGAACGCTTACCTCTGTACATTTTCCATACTAAGCCAACGGTTGATCTCATCTCGCTTCATTCCTTTCATTCCAAGCCACCTGTATGTAAAAATTAATTATAAATATTATGGAAATATTTTTTTGTATTCCAATTCAAGATCATGGCTCTTAGGCTTTGTCAACACTATAAATTTGTGTGATGTGCCCATGTATAGGCATGATGATGTCATATCACACCCAAATATGGGCGTATCATTCTCTACACATTCTATTAATGTTGCACATTTTTATAACCTAGTTAGTATTTATGATCATACAATAACACATCTTGATGGTGATTATGTGTTGTAATTATGAGTTCACATTTGTATCTTGTATTTTACACCCAAAAAAATAAATGCTTCCGTCAAACAAAGTCCTTATCAAACCCTTCAACAATAAACGTTTATTCAAATAAATATGATCTCTTGCACAAGACAGTGGGGAAGTAATGGTTATGATGTTTAGCATCTAATGCAAACACCTATGGTTCCAATCCTACCAGAATACACATTTTGTGTGAATAAAAAAAAAATGGCAACTCTTACATAATGCACTGGTCTCGAATCTTTTTGAGCTCCATAATTACTGGTTTTATACCATTCATATTCCTGTCTAGTTCCCTATTTATATTTATTTGTTGTTGAAGCTCATGGTTGAGGGTGGCTTGATGTTCACGTATTTCATTCAGGCGTGACTGTAGCAATTCATAATTTTTTAGCAACCTGTAAGCAAGTAAACAAAAATTGATTCAACCTTAAGCCGGGCACTTTACTCAACCCACTGCGATTCTATGGAGAGCACAACGCCACGAAGCGTGCGTAACAGCTCAGACTGCCACCGACAACGACCGATACAACGTAGTGAGTGGCCGGCTTAAGATTGATGACAACTGGTACAACTCAGTAAATGAGAATTTAAAAAGAGGGCATTAATAATTGCATGCAACTTCCTATAGAGTACTACAGTGTTACGTCACGATACCACGTGATACTACTCCGTTGCTATCGTTGCAAAATGCATTCAACCGGACGCCATTTTCTCCACTGACAAACCATTGATCCCAATTTCTAACGTAATTATTAAGATGTTGTATCTTAGTTTTTCTTTGTAGATTTTAATTGATGATTAAATGTGTTTTCAACAACTAATATAATGCGAGCTTTTGAATTTTTAGTACATTTTGAAGGTAAAATATTAGATGTAATACCAATGTCTGGTTGGCAACAGAGGGCGCTAGCTAGCATTGTGACGACACGACTGTGGTACTCTATGACAGTTAACAACTGACAGAAGGCCATCTTGATTGCAAGTTCATGAATAACTTACCCTGGAATGGCTTAAGACCCACTCCCACTAGGGCTTTTTTCAGCATACGAGTTACAAGAGTTTGCCAAGTTGCTAACTCGGTACACTCGGCAAAAACTCATAGGACGATTCGGGAATCTGGGGGAGAACTCGTACCTACTCGTAGCAGCTCTAAACTCATGGCGCTTATTTTTAACTTGTTTAAAATGAGCGCTACGAGTTGATAACTCGTAGTAAACTGAAAGGTCTCGTAAATAACTCGTAGAGTACTCAGGGTACTCCTAGCTAACTCGTACACTACTCAAGATACTCGCTGGCGGTTTTGTAATCCACGAGTTTGATGCAAGCACCCCGAAAAGAGTACGAGTGCACCGAGTTGGTTACGATCACCAGGAACATGTGGTTGGAATGCTCCTACCTCACTTAACATCTAATGCAAACTCGTAGTAAACTCGGTGCTTCACTCAGCATAATAGCTAACACGCAGTAAGCTCGTTTACCAAGCGAATTAAATGACACTTTTTTAACTCATAGAACTAGAAATCAACCTAGGTGGGAGAGGACCTTTTCTGACAGTGAGGTGATATTGATTTCTAGCACTGTCCACTAGTGATAACCGAATGTGAAATGGTTACTGACAATGAGGGAGCTATTGATTGCAAGGTACATGAGTGATAGCTTACTCTGGTATATCCTTTGGGTTGGCTTCCTTTTGATTCTGTTGATGAAGTTCCATCTGTTCTTCAAACACTTTTATTGTTTCATTAAAAGCATCTGAAGCCTGTTGTTTTAATTGTATTTCCTGAAAGCAAACAATTGTTACTGTTTAATTGCTTCAGCATGTTCACCATTTTTAATGTTTCATTATGCATCTACCATGGTCCTCAAATTCTTGATTCAATCTTATAACTAAGGTAGCCTGCTTGAGCCGTATATAGGTGTTAAAAACCAACAATGAAAACACAATTGACTGCAGAAAACACAAATGATGACATACCTGTTGAGTTTTACTATATTCGTCATAATAAAGATCATACTGTTTAGTCTTTGCAAGATACTCTTGGTTCTTCTCAAGTAACCTATTAATCACAAAATCAATGCTTGTTTCTAGCTCATGATCCTACAAGAAAATAAAAACATTGACATTAGTATGAAATAAATTATGAAGAATGAAAACTTTTGACTTGTTAATGGGAATTATCTTATAAAATGTTGGTATATTGGTGGCGGAAAAAGCTTGTGCTGAAGCCTTCAATTTTAAATTGGCACTCAATCCGGAAGAAAAAAATTGACGTATTTACTGGAAGGTCATTCTCTACTGGGAACAGATATAGTATTTCAAAAACATAGAAACAACACAGTCATTCCAAGGTTAAACAATGTAACTGCACTAAAATATAACAGCAGTTGTAACATTGTTTTACTTTGGGATGGCCAAACAGCACAGTTTCTGATGTAGAAATAAATACATAACTAAATTAACAAAGGTAGAAGTACTTACAGTTTCATACTTGTTGACAGACTGAAGAAGCTTAATATCTAAGTTGGCGTTGTACTGGGCTAAGGAATGTGTTCGGTAGTGGTTAATTAATTCTGGTACCGAATGAAACTTCAGCGGTTCTGAGAAACCATACATTCCATTTTTATGAAAGATCTTGATGAGTTTATTGCTGCCACCCTTTCTGTGGAGACAAACAAAAATAAGCAATTAGAATAGTGCTTATCTAAACACTATGTGGAAATTATTACACTTTTAGGTTAGATTAATGCATTAAAAAATTCCTTTGGGCCTGCAAACTGTGTACTAATGGAAAATCAGTGCACAGTTGGAGATAGGAAAATAAGGTTGGGAGTTGCAGTGATGACGTCACAACTGATTTATAATACATTATTGTTTCTCATTTCTCAAGGACATGTTTAAATAACAGATAGAAACGGGAAAATAAGTATCAGTTGTGTTTGGAGATCTCAACCTTGTTACTGAAATCAGAGTGCTGAGCCTCTCAATGTGCATGGCACTTGTGCCCTTAGGCACCTTACTTATGCTTCTCTCTCCACCCAGGAGTAAATGTGGGTACTTGGGTAGACTCTAATTCCAATGCACTGACAATGTGTTTGATACAATGACCAGGTTAATAATGTAAAGCTCATAGGGGCCCTCCATTGCATGATGCTCTTTATCAGTAGTAGATCAAGGAACTTAAAATGGAAAGGGTCCAGGCAAGGAATTTTACAGATGGTTGACCCAACAGACTTCCACATCTCCACCACCTTTGGGGGCTGAGTTGCAATATTTTTAGTCAATGGTGTCTCTAGATGGTCAAAAACGGCATTCTTAAATTTGAATGAATGTTTCTTTTTTCCCCATGTTCTTATTTCAATACATTTTGGGGGAGGGGACTGGCAAAGGCCCCCTCTAGAATCTTCCTCTGTATATAAAACTAGCATATTATTATTATTATTATTATTATCTATATTTATTTAATAATAACAGTGTATCTAAAAATCACAAGGTGTTACCTCAATGTGAGTGTATAATCCCCGTGAGTAATCTTGGTAGATGCATCACGAACCAAGAAGGTACCATCAGGCATGTCCTTCAACTTCTCATTAGCATCCTCCCTATAAAAAAAGTAATAATAAATTACAATTACATTTACACAATAACACCTACAAAGATAATGTTGTAACTTTAGGTCGCTTGGTTTGACTTTAGGATTTAGTTTGGTTGGGGGGGATGTTCTGAAAATGTTGTGCCACTTTTGAAAAATTCTGGATCCGCCCCTGTTCAATAACATACAGTACACCCTCCAATGTGAGACCCCTCTACTTCAGGACCACTATTTTAAAGTACCAACTAATCATCTTTAATGTTTAACACGCAACTAACCCTGAATTAGAGACCAAACCCCAAGACAACCCCAAATTTACAGGTCACAAAGTGTTTTCAAATTGGAGGGTGAACTGCTATTGTATTATTGTATTGCCATATTGTCATAATACCACTTCTCTTACCTTGATATATCCCCCCAGTACCAATCACTCTCTTCCATCGATACTACAGTATCCTTGCGGATAGGCTCACGAGGCGGTACAGCTGATGGCAAGAAAAAAATATTATTGAAAAATGAATTTTTACATTACATAGTAAATTTGCTGGTAATCAAAACCAACACAAAAAATAAACAAAAAAATACATATACATACATTATTTAAGCTTATTCATAAATTACACAATTTTACGTTTTTAGGCTGGTTGGAGATCTGTCCTGGTCTTGACTACTCTAGAATCACTCTCAGATAGGCTTATCTACGAATGGATACCTTGTTCGAAGCAAGAAATCAAGTTGTCTTTCCAAAGTACCGTTCGTCTATATCAATCGGCAGGAAATTTTCCCTATATATTATCAACTTTCATCAAGTCAGAGACTAAACAAAATAAAGATTTCACTAAATATAGATAATTTACTACTATTGCTCTTACTGTAATATACTTACTTGGTGCTGCTTCCATCGGTTGTTGATTCACACCCCAATCTAATTTCTCTATCAACCACAAAATTATTATACGATGTACTTCAGAATTATGAATAACTTGTCTGGAAATAGAGAAGCATTGCAAAATACAAGTTATTATACTTATACTTTTCAATAAATAATTTCATTAATATTATTAGTACTGTATTTTTTTTTTTCAATTTTAAGTCTAAAATATAGAAAACATAAAATCTCATTTCAAAATCATCATTAAGTTTTTGTATATTTCAATAAAATAGTAAGATTCAGATTCAATTATATTGTCCAATATGGTAATAGTAGCTCCATATAGATAATATATGCATTAAAATAGAAACATAGTAGTTCCATATAGATAATATATGCATTAAAATAGAAAAATAATCAAAATTAAATGAATACTGCAATACAGAACTTACAATATGTCTTCCCTCGGAGGACGTAACAATATGTGGCAAAAAACGGATGCAAGTTTTTGCGGTCCGACCTTGTTGACCTGCGTGTTCTGACAGATGCGGACGAAGTGCGCCATCAGGTACCTGAGTGTTGACTTGTGTGGTGGACTCAAAGACTCTACCAGATCATTAAGTCTCTCGACTTTTTCAACTTCACTTCGTATAGCTATTATTAATCAGGAAAATAGTAAAATGACAACATAAATTACCATATTGTTATGCAACATGGACAGTGCCCTCAAACTGTTCTTGTATATGGATCAAAGATCTTACAACAAGATAGCGCACTCTTCAATTTCTGAATGCTAATTCTGTAACAACGCATTGTACGATGCAATCTCGCAAAAACAATTACTCTTCAACTTTAAAGATAGTGTATCTTGCAATTTCTGCGTGGAAATTCTGTAACAACCATGGTAGCAACTAGGATGCCCGCTCAAAAAAATAATTGCTTTTTATGCTTCTTCTCAGTGTACATTAACGCTTCTGTTTGTTACATGTAAAATTGTGAAGAGCACTATTTTGTTGTTATAAACCTTACCGGTATTTATAATGTGTTATATTAAAATATACAAAGATATAGTTCCTTTTTACTTCTCAAGTTACTCATTTTACAGTGAGACTTCACACATCTTTTAAGTCATTTTCTAAATGTGTACTAGTGACTATTTCAACTTACAATTAGCTTGAATAAAATCTGCATACAGGTCATGCGAAATAACCGGATTCGGGAGTTCTCGCAGGTAACGCTTCAGTACTCCAGCAATGCAGTGAATATCCTGTACACTGTCTAAATCCACTGAACTTGGACTACTATTAAACTGTTTTTTCACCTGGTTTACGGTACCGGTAGGAGAAGACGTCCGGTATAAACCCTCAGCAGTCAATCCTATATAAAGAAAAGGAACAGATGAATTGCGACAAAAAAATGTTGTATGCTCATAATATATAGTCATGATGTGCCTATATATGGTCATATGTGATGACATCATGACCATCTTTAGGCATGTCACATGTTTTTGTCAAATAAAATTTGATTGTCTGGACAGGGCTTAAACTCTGTTCACACTACAGTATCAAGTTTTATGTGAAAATACAATTAATTTGCCCTTAAACTCTGTTCACACTACAGTATCAAGTTTATGTGAAAAATACAATTAATTTGCCCTTAAACTCTGTTCACACTACAGTATCAAGTTTTATGTGAAAAATACAATTGATTTGCCCTTAAACTCTGTTCACACTACAGTATCAAGTTTATGTGAAAAATACAATTAATTTGCCCTTTAAACTCTGTTCACACTACAGTATCAAGTTTTATGTGAAAATACAATTGATTTGCCCTTAAACTCTGTTCACACTACAATATCAAGTTTTATGTGAAAAATACAATTAATTTGCCCTTAAACTCTGTTCACACTACAGTATCAAGTTTTATGTGAAAATACAATTAATTTGCCCTTAAACTCTGTTCACACTATAGTATCACGTTTTATGTGAAAAATACAATTAATTTGCCCTTAAACTCTGTTCACACTACAGTATCACGTTTTATGTGAAAAATACAATTAATTTGCCCTTAAACTCTGTTCACACTACAGTATCACGTTTATGTGACATACATTTGATTTGCCCTTAAACTCTGTTCACACTACAGTATCACGTTTTATGTGAAAATACAATTAATTTGCCCTTAAACTCTGTTCACACTACAGTATCACGTTTATGTGATATACATTTGATTTGCCCTTAAACTCTGTTCACACTAAACTATCACGTTTTATGTGAAAATACAATTAATTTGCCCTTAAACTCTGTTCACACTACAGTATCAAGTTTATGTGACATACATTTGATTTGCCCTTAAACTCTGTTCACACTACAGTATCACGTTTTATGTGAAAATACAATTAATTTGCCCTTAAACTCTGTTCACACTACAGTATCAAGTTTATGTGATATACATTTGATTTGACCTTAAACTCTGTTCACACTACAGTATCACGTTTTATGTGAAAATACAATTAATTTGCCCTTAAACTCTGTTCACACTACAGTATCACGTTTATGTGCTATACATTTGATTTGCCCTTAAGCTCTGTTCTCACTAAACTATCAAGTTTTATGTGACAAATATACTTGATTGATCCTTACATAAGTATGATATGACAACGTTACTGATATTCAGAAACGAATAATGAGTAATGTGATGATTTTATCAGTGAAGTCTCCTTATCGAGTTAAGTTGCTTTTAGTTCTGTCACGAGAATTGAACCCAGGACCTTAGGATTAGAAGGCAAGCAGAAACCTGAGATTAGAAGGCAAGCATCTTAACCACTAGCTATTCAACTCCACTCCAATTACTACTGTAGTTCAAACTCTATAGTTCCTATCATATATTCTTGGTAATTAGAAACAAAAAGAAACATGTGCTTACCTCTTTCTTCAATAGCTTGTACACATTTGACTACAACAAGTGGAGCTTCTTCAGTTTCAGGGTCAAACTGCATACAGAGATCTTTGGAGAATATGCTCTCTTGAAAGAAAGGAAAGAAACATCAATATTGTTGAAAAACATCATTAATTATTTCATTTATCATTAATTTATCTCCTCATAAATATACAAAGAAATAATTATAACAAAGGAAAAGAAACCAAAAGTGATATGAGATCCACAAATATGGATTTTACTCATTTCTATTTGTAGGTTCCTAAAAACACTGGGCCTAAAGCCAAAAAAAAAACACGAAAGTCAAAATACAACATAAAATTCATTATTACATATTATATCACGCTTAAGCTAAGACAAATAGAAAATCATACGGTAGGTGTCCTTATAAAAAAAATCTGTTGTGCCGAGACATCATTCAAGTTGCCATCACAGCATAAAGATGGATGGAGTGGAAAGGAAATCATCTGGGATATTCTTATTATTCCATTTAAAATTATACTTACGTTTTGAAAAACTATTACTTCTTAACCTGACTGTAGATGAAACGTTACACACAGGCAAACCGGTCATCGCACAGCTTCTGTGGCAAACAAGACCACATTCTAAAAGAAATAGTTACATAAATAAAGTACAATAATTAATTAAGACAATAAAGAAATATAATTATACACAAAACTGAACACAAACCCACCCCTCCCTGCCCCTCAAACCAACCTACCAGAGCATTGCAAGCCTTGGCGAATCAGACCAAACATGAATTTATGACATCTATCACACCACTCCATCATAGAGAATGTATGCTCCAATAGTGTATGCTCGACAGCTGTATGGTGCACTGAAATAAAAAATAAAGCCATTAAAAATCCCATCAAACAACTGTGGATATACATTTTACAAAGGTTCAATGTTATATTATACAAATATTTACTGGGTTAGGGGGCATGGTTCGAATTATAGCCCAAGGTGATCTGCAGGCTGTACTACAGTACATAGTACATAGTACAGCCTCCGGATTACTAAGGGCTTAATTTGTTTTTATACCGCTACATAGATTCCTTGTTCTTGAGTCGTGAAAAGATGTAGGCCTAGAACTTCACTAGCACTTCATCAAGGACTGCATTTGATGACGCGATGTTTAGGTCTACACTCGGTATAGCAAAATTTGCGGCTTTAAGATACTTTTCAAATATTCTGACGGCATACTTAACTTGTTTTTTTTCGTATTATCACTGGCTGCTGAACTCATTAACATTCTCATGTCCATCAACCAGTTTAAATCTAGCACACTGCCATTTTTATTCCTACCAATACGCAGTGTGCAGGAAGCATCAGAGCGATCATCAGCTTCCAAGTCATCCAATTAGGTAAAATTCGATTAAAAGCAGTAGAAGCGCGCCTTCCACAATATGCTTAGCATAATTTTCTACATCACGATGTACAAACGAATTACGAGAGGACAAAACAGAAAGACTATTGCCCGGCTAAGAGGGCATGGCTGGAACTATTGCCTGGCTCTTAACCAATCAAATACCTGGAATCTATGTAGTCGGTATATAATGTGCAACATGAAAAATGATTACTGTACTCTGAAAAAACTAAATTAGAGCTAAAAGCCACCTAGCATCCAGGTACCTGAATGAAAGCATTTAATGCAATGCCATAAAACATAGAAACTATCTTATGCAATCACAGCAACAGGTATTCATGGAATCCAGGGTTCTATTTACATAATTACAACGATGCTAAACAACACGCCAACTACTGTTACAGTATATAAAATTGCATTAGAGCAACAGGTGATTCTGGCATCCAGGTTCTATTTACATAATTACAGCAATGCTATACAAACACTGCAATTATCTTACAGTACAGTAAAATTCCATAGGGCAACATCCGATCTTAGCATCAAGGGACTTAGTTATTGTAAATTTGGTTTCGATTCTGGTGCTGACTGTTTCAAATATATTTTTTTTTTTTACATTGTTGGCAGAGTATATTATTAACATTTAATAAAAACAACAACAACAATAACCAGAGTCTTGCAGGCTTCAACGTTCCTATGCATGATACATGACTTAACCAACCATATTTTCTGATTAAGTCATCATAAATGACATAATCAGAAAATATGGTTGGGTCAAATTTGATGGTGGTTGAAAAATTCAGGGGGAGTCTTTATGGCCCCAAATAGTGATTTTAGACCACATTGGTAATGTAATTTGATAGGCAAATTACAGTAATATTTTTAGCAAATTTCTTTAAAAAAATTTCTTAGGCCTAGGGCCTAGGCCTAGCTAGGTATACAGTATTTTCATTTTACAGTAGTTTGGAACGATATCAGGAGTGGGGGAGCTGGCAGTGGCCTACTAGATTACAATTTATTTGAAAATAGCTTGGGCCCGATCATCCACACCAGTTGGGCCCAATCGTCTGTCACCTGAAGTTTTCATCACAATGATCAAGAACGTACACGATCTAGGCCCTAGGCTAGGACTAGCCTTGCTGCCGTCACTCTGCTACGTATACTACCGCATAACAAAGAAAGCGACTCACACGGTGCATTCTTAAATTTTACACACATTATTTAAATGTATTTTACGTATTAGACGATATAGTACCTTCATATGACTCATACAACAGAAAAAAACATCGCATGGAGGTAGCGAAAAATGGAGATCTAAATGCAAAAACGATGTATTTCAACAAGTATTAAAACCTTCTTTTTATATTAGGCCTTCTTCAAAATACCTATGCCTACAGCAGTTGATTTTTTTTTTGCCGCAAAACCAAAATAATTTCATCCATGACGACTTGCCGATCGGTTAGCGTGAGCCCTGTCTGAACTTCGCATCGCGAGGAAAAACAAAATGTCGGAAAACGTTTTTTTAATGCATGCGCATTTGCATAAATGTCTATATACACACACACGCACACACTACACACAGGGAAAACAGTGAAAAGTGATTACAATAGTTCCTATTGCATTATCAATCAATCATATTTTATTGTCATTGTTCAGGAGAACATAGAAATTTGTTTTCCTCTGTGGTAAAAACACATTCCAAAAGGCAGAACAAACACAAACAAAGAAACAAAGTGCAAAAGTATGAAACATTTACCTACAATTTAGAGCCCTAATTGCTGTAGGAAAGAAACTATTCCTGAATCTAGCCTTAGTGGCTTTCGATGAACGAAAACGTCGACTGCGCATCAATTGGAATAGGTTTGAGGCAGGATGAGTTTGGTCGCCCATAATAGCCTCTGCCTTTTTAAGAAGCCGATCATGGAAAATGGTTTCCAGAGGCATTTGTTCCAAACCAATTAGAACAATGCGTTCAAAACATTTCATTATTACAGAGGTTAAAGCAATGGGTCGATAATCGTTAAGAGTTATTATTGGGGAACATTTCGGTATTGGAATTATTACTGAATCTTTGAAGCAACGCGGAATAATCTGGGATAAGAGAGAACAATTGAATATGTATGTGAAGATGTACGAGATCTGACGGCAACAGTGTTTAACTAGAGATGGACTAATACCATCCGGACCTGCAGATTTTGTTGACTTGCATCTTCGAAATTCCCTACACGTTTCCTCTTCAGGAATAATTAAAGGACAATCAGTGTTAATACGACTGTCTTCAGTAGGAGAAACGCAATTGTCAACATCACTAGGGAGGGGAGGTTCAAAACGACAGAAAAAATCATTCAATTGCTGGGGAAGATTATTATCTTTTGAATGAGTAACACTAGACTTACGTTTATAATTAGTTATTTTATTTAACCCCTTCCATAATTCCTTAGAATCATTATAGGCATAGGAACTAAAAATCATAGTGTACAAAATATACAGTATATAACAAAAGGCCAATGAACATTACAAATAACTTAAGCATAAAATGGTACAAAAATGTACAGTAACAATTGTACAAATGAAGAAAACTGCTCTAACAGTGTAGTAAGATAGTGCAAGACTTTTTTAACCTGTGTTTAGTGAACCCTCCGACAATAACGGCGATTTCTGATTAAAAAAAAGGGAAATTAAAAAAAAAAAAAAAACAGTTTTTTATATTCAATTTTATCCTCCGTCTACATGTCTTTAGTAAAATAATTTTGCTAAATATAAGAAAACAATTTTTTTTTTCACCCTCCTATGATCTTTAAAAGAATTTGTTTGGTAAACAAGGTATGAAAAAAACTCTCACCTAATAATCTTTTTTTATTATGCTAATAATAGCCACAATTGGTGTACTTACCATCACTTGAGTCTTCTAGTTGAGGAGGTGTTTGTTTGACTAATGAAGTACCATTTACTAGCTCATCTCTAGTTATCAGTAGACATTTGCGATGGAACTCATCACTAATCCCCATTTTCTAAACAAGTAAATGAAAAAAAAACCTTGATCAATCAAGCTAATAGTAATAAACTTTGGGGGGTGGGGGTGGATTTAATTGATTATACATACTTTGTTAATCAATTATAAAAATTAAATAAAGGGAATATTATTTTACTCAAAAATAACAAAAAAATATCATTCCTTATTATTTGCAGACCCCTTAAATGGGTTGGCAGATGCATAATAATAATAGTAAATACTTTTAGCATAGACCCTTAAATTGACTATTAATCAATTTATAAATATTCAACAGAGATAAAGCAAAGCTATTTACACATGTAGCTAAATTGGGGCTGCATTCAAGCGACATTCAATTCTAGCGATGCGGTCCTAACATATGATTCTGAGCCGATATAGCAATTTCATACTGAGTACATGAGTCACATAATTTGAAGGGACAATACTGCAGGCAAAGTAATTGAATAATACATATCCCATTATAAGTCTGGACTTACAGCAAGATTAATTTAAATAATAATAAATAAGAAATTGAATTTTAAAGTTCAAGCATTATTGACAAATTTAATAGAAACCTCAGACATTAGCTCCTGTCGACTGTCTGATCCTGAATTCATCTAAAAGCCACATCGACAAACCTTTGACCTCCTGTACACACAGTGGGTAGTTCTAAATTAGTAAAGCAAACACTAACAAGAAAAAAAGACTGAATGCACTTGGGAAATATCTGGATCAAGAGAGATAGAGGATAAGAAAAAAATATTTAAAAAATAGATACAAAAAAAAAAAGATTGGCTGACAAAATGCTGAATAGATAAAGTTGGCCTTACTAGTAACATGTTTGTGTCTAAATTTTTAAGCATATTTCCATCAACTTTCTTGGTCTTGAATAGGTCAGCATACCGATAAAGATTTGTGGCAGCCATCCAATTTAGAACATCTTCAACAGTCCACTCGGTTATGACCTAGAAAAAAAAAATTACTTTAGGGCACATAGAAAAAATTTGGGAAAATTGTTGCGGGGATAACAACATTTTTTTTTTTTTTTGTCGCATCATTGGTGGTGGTGGTAATGATGATGGTTGTGGTGGTGGTGATGATGGGGTGGTGATGGTGGTAATAATGTTGGTGATGGTGGTATTAGCGGTTGTAATGATGGTGATGATAGTTGTGATGTTGCTGACAACAGTTACAGTATAACAGCAGGAACGATGATGGTACAGCAATCAAGATGTTGATAAGGATATTAATAACGACAATGGCAACGGTGACGATCTAGGAAAGGGAATGAGACATACTACAGTACTATTATAATTTATTTAATTATCTGATGATGAAGAACAAAGAAAGGCACCCTTTTTAACACAGATAACTTACTGTTGGCTGGGATACATCCTCGTACACTCTTTTCTGGTCACATGTGCACTTATTACAATATGGTAAGCAGTTGAGGTGGAATACTTTTTGGCACCGATCACACCTCTTTCCAACTAGACCACATCCCCAAATGTAATCATTACCTAATAAAAATATAAAAAGGCAATAAATTGATAATATTTGTATTAAAACAAGCTAATTACAAAAAAAATTGCTTGAGTTTTTAGAAAGAAATAAACACTGAATTTACTTTTAATTATCCACTTTACTGCTTGTATAGTCATTTCAACAACTGAAGTTCACTAGATAATTTATGTATTTAATACTACAGTAACAGGAAATAAAAACATAATATGTCAAAATTCATGGTTGAATACAAATATTAGTTATGTTTACATCTAAATTTGTGTGAAGGAAATGCCATATTCTCCATTACACTACAGTATAATACACAATTGACAAACACTATAATATTAATACATAACAACAATAATCCTAACATCCTATTGATGTTAGAATTCTTTGAACACAAATTTTTGTTTTGCTGTATCATTTATCTTTAACAGCTTAAAAAAACAATACAATTTTGTGACTGGAACTGAAGTTCAGTAGATAATAAGATATATTTTAACTACAGTAATAGGAAATGATAACATAATTTCTAGAAATTCATGTTTGGTACAAACTTTAATTACTTTTACATCCAAATTTGTGTGAAGGAAATGCCATATTCTCCGGTACACTACTGTATCAAATACACAATTGACAAACACTATAATAGTTAATACACAACAAACAATGAATCCCAACATCCTACTAAAGTTAGGATTCTCCGAAGGCCATCAGTACTGTATATCTTTGGTTCCTGGTCATATATTGTACTGACAACCTGTTCCATTGTTACAGTGTATCTAAGTTACGGTATGGGCTAGTCCTTGATATTCAGCCATGTGTACAGTATGGCTCCTGGTCATCAGAAATTGACCGACAGGGATCCAACAAGTCCGACCGGGGGGGAGGGAGGTAAGAACCAAGAGGGCACCTAGAGCCTCAGCCAGGGTCTTGGAATGAAAACCCTGCTTAAAATTGAGATTGATATTACATAATATTGAAACAGCATACAGTATTTTGTGTGGTGTGAATACAAAGGATATGCCACAAAATTCTGAAGACTTATTTCCAATGGGGTCCTTGACCATTCTTTTATTATTATTATTATTATTATTATTATTATTATTATTTTATTTTTGCTCTTTATTCTGTAATATATTGTAAAGCGCTAGTGACAACTTCCGTTTTAACCGGCGATATAGAAATTTTAAAATCTATTCTACCTATCTACATGAGCCCAGCTGCATACAGGACCAACAGCTTAAGCCTCTCTTCCGAAGGACAGTGGGCAATTTTGCCCTCCATTTTTTTCTCCAGCTGAAACAAGGAGAGCTGAAGATGGAATTGTACCCGGTACCTAAGGATCTCCACAGGTCAGCGCACACACAGTGGGTACCACAAATTTAGCCAACTAAAATAAGCTGCTAAGTACAAATGATCATAAATGGGAGTCCCAGTACAAGCAAAGATTTGCAAATCTGTAGTTTCCATTCAGCAATTCATGCTGATCTGATGTCGCGGTTGTGTCATATCTCAAGTTACTATTACACAGTAGAGACTACATAGATTTTGTAGTCACAACTTCCTGGTCATGAATCCAGACAGCTTAGGAATAATTAATTGAATCATGATTATTAAAGTGTAGGAGACAACATTTCTATTCTAAATGTAAATCCTTCATGTTACACTGAAACAAATCCATATTATGCTCTAATTTGGTTTGATAATTCAAAATGGTGTGATTATTCAAAAATATATTGAAGCTTACACAAAATAATAATTATCCTCAATGAACACAACTTTGAATTGAATATGTAATACCAATACTGTTTCCAACTTTCAATAGGTCACAGATAAAAAAAAATTGTTTTTAATTATTTACAGATGTTTTTACTAATAACAATTCCTGAGTTATCTGGCACAAATTTAAAGGTTAGACAAGACTCTTTTTATTGTTAAACCCGCAGCCTGCCAATGATGATCATTTCGAATAAAAATAAAGCTTTATTTTTGGCTAATTAGCACACACGCCGCCACGAAAAAATGGCATTTAAAAAAAATAAAGTTTTTCCTTATTTTTGTTACTGTATGCTCACTTCTGCCTTGAAATCTTCAAAAATAAGATGTTTCTTCCATATAAATTTAAAGCATTTAACCATCCCATTACTACACTATTTATATTCACCCATAAAGTTTTATTTTCTCCTCCGTCTGGAAGTTTTTGGCAAAAATATTAATTTGCTAAATATGATAAAACCTTTAAATTTTTTTTTTTTTTTAAATTTCTTTCCGCCCTCCTCTAATAATCTTTAAAAAAATAAGTTCGCAAAACAAGGTGGAGTATAACAAAAGTCTTGCCTTTTGGCGTACCTAATCTTGGACTACAGAAATGTTAATTATTTAGATGTCTGTTAATTATTGACCAAGAACATTTTTTCCCTTTCAAATTTTCAATTAAAAAAGGACCTAATGGTTCATTTAATTGAACAATTCTATTTTTATATTTTTAAAGTTTAGTATAGATTTAATCTAATTGCTTTTTTTTTTTAAATGAAATGATTTTTCATTAATATTCAACATACAAATAGGTGAATTCTCATAGTATAGTACATAAATTATGCTTTTTTTTTTTTTAATGAAATGATTTTTCATTAATATTCAACATACAAATAGGTTAATTCTCATAGTATAGTACATAAATTATGAAGCTTATTATTATGCTTTGGTGTTTCTCTCTCACAAATATGTGAAGTCTTGAGGCCACAAAATGAGATGTGTTGTTGGTGAAATCATAAAGGCATTCACCAAAAATGAGTCAAAAGTCAAAACTTTTACAAAATTTTGATTTTAATATTTTTTTTAATAACTCGACACCTATATATTATGATTGCACAGTGTATACTTTTTTAGTGAATTTTCTTACTAAAAATAAAAGTTTTCTCTGCACATACAGTACAGTATTCTGTATTTTCGCTATTATTTGTACAGGTTAGTTATCTTTGAGGCCGACTTCCTCAAAACGTGGTTCTAATACAGTACAAATACCTAAACTTTTAAATTTTTTTATTTTTTTTATTTTTTTATTTTAAATGCTCACATCTCTTAATCTATTTATCCTGGGAAGTAACTCAATTTTTGATTTTCTACCATGTGACTCATTTTGCGGTGAGACTTCACATTATTATAAGCCGACAAACAAGTAATTTTATTTGGTTTTATTGATTTTCCATTGCATTCACTATCTTTTTTATAGTATAACAGTGAAAGACAGGCACTTCCTTTAATAAAGAATAACTTACAATACGAACAGAGCTTCGGGGATATGAAGTACGTATCATTTAAATCATGTATTATCTGCCGTTCTGAAAATGAAAAAGAAAATAACAATTAATCAACTATGCAAAGAAATTATTCATTGCTACTCAGTGTTAATGTAGTGCAAAGATTTAGATTGGCTTAAATGGAATGATATGTACATCTCTTCAATGTCAAAAACAATCAAATGAAATACAGCAGAAAGCACTAAGTTGATGTATAAATTAGACAGTTAAGTTATACTATATATTGTGATCCATTAACATGTTGTCAAACGGCAGAAAGATAAAATTGGTTGTTGTGGTCAGTCCCTTTTCTAGAATGATGGGATGATTCAACCATTAACATACACAGTACAGTGTTTGTACTGTTTGAAGAATAAAACTTACCTGTTTGCAATCGTATAAGTACAATCATGACTATCAATAACACATTATTACTACTTTCTATAGCCGTCTTTGTAATATTTAATAAAGCATTTTGAGTTTTTATCTTATTTTAAAATTGTGAAACTAAACACAACCGAAAAAGATCAGGTTGAATAGGATGTTTTCAATTGCGTGATGACAGAAAAATTGATAACGTGATGGTGTCAACTACTGTAGGATCAACCTGCACATGTGAGTTATGTTGTTGTCATCGTCACCTGGATTCCAGGACGCAGTATATGGCCCGATCTATGTTGCACAGAGAACAAAGGACAGCCACGAGAAGTGAACCCATCCTACAGTAAGATCCACAACTCTGTAATGCCCTTAGATGAGACTTTTTTTTATTCCTTGTTTCGCATAAAACAAATTTTGTTTTCTTATTTAGCAAATAGTTTTGCCAAAAACATCCAGACGGAGGAGAAAATAAAAATAAAACTTTATTGGTGAATATAAGATGGGATGGTTAAATGCTTCAAACTTATAAATATACATATTTTAATTTTGGAGATTTTAAGGCAGCGGAGGGCGTAACAATTTTTTTTTTTTTATTGTTTATTTTTTTCTGAAATTTCCAATTTTTGTGGTGGTGGGTGCGATAATTGGTCAAAAATAAAATAAAATAAAATATATTTGCGTTCGGCAGGTTGACTAAACAAGGTGAAAAAAAAGTCTTGTCTTATGACAAAGAACAAATTCTGATTTGTAAGAAGGCATTACCCCACAAGATTATCCGAGGGCGGTAAAAAAACAAAAATAAAAACATTTGGTTTTCTTATAGCAAATAGGTTTGCCAAAAACATCCAGATGAAGGAGCAAAAAAAAAAATGTATTAAAAAAAGTCTCATCTTTACATATGTAGCCAATTCCAAATATTTATTATATTAATTTTTGTCTACGGCAGTAATGTTGCGTGTCTGCGCAATTCATAAAATAACACCAGAAACCATATAAAACAGAAATCTCAATTTTGAAAAAAATGCAATTAATATCTTTTTCCTAATCAGGGCAGTAATACTGTATTAACATTAAATTTTTGCAAAAAAAATATTTTGTGTGGAATTACTGTAAAAAATGTAATAGATGATCTTTTAAGCAATATTTTTGACATCTTCAAGTTTATAAAGATTTATTTAAAAAGCAGCAATTGCATCATGATATATTTTATATTACAGAATTGAGAAGAAATACCTTTTTTTTACATAAGATTTAATGGCGACAGCAAGCTTGATAAAAATGTAAGAAATTTGTTTATACTGTATTTTCGAACAGTCTCATTTTATTCATGCCAGCGAGCACACTAAGGCCAAAAATTGTATTTTAAAAATTTGGAACCAACTGTTAGGAAGCAGGTTAGCGAAACAAGGTACTAAGGCCTACTGTATAATACAAAGACTTGCATCAACAATAACGTAATTCTCCCCCCCTTCCCCAGCTGTCTAGTCCTCTGACATCGATCTTACACATTTTTAATAGTTGAGTTCTATTAAGGAAACACCTTGAGGATGAAGCCAAGTATTGTATGCACTTAATAGGGATGTTCCAAAGATGACTAATAAATTATTAAGGTGACAACTAAAAAAAATGTTGTCCACTATTAATAATGGTCTTTGTTACGTACAACATAAAAACCGTTCAATATCTTGCTAACACTTGGATAAAATTACATTAAGACAATAAGTATAAAAGTAAATACATACCGAATCCATCACATTTTAAAGACTTAAGTATTCTTCTTTTTTTTTTTAAATACAGTACAGAATGTAATTTTTGTTTTACCTATATATTAATCAGTTTTTTAAATATGTTCCCCTATTTTTTCTATTCTTGAAAAGTAAAACCAGGGGCGGATCCATGTTGGAAAGCGGGGAGAGGGGGTTGCCAAATCAAAATAACACTACCCGGGTGGGGAAGAAAGGCATTCGCACGCAAAATATTTGTGTTCCGTAAATAATCTCTGAGCCGTTTTCAACGATCCATTTTTTCTTTCTTTTTTTTTTCTTTTTTTACCTTCCAAAAAGGGGAGAGGGGGAGAGGGGGTTGGCCCACCTTAACTCCGCCCCTGAAGACAGTACCTCAACACAATATAATTCAGTATTAGGACTTACCAGTATCATTGCCGACAGTAACATAACCTGAGGGATCAGGACTTGATGGCCTTTCTGACTGGGCATCAAATTCCGGTTCCTTGTTATCAGGTCTACTATGGTTAACACTGTTGTTAGCAACGCCTTTATCAAAAGATACGGGCCTTTCCGGCGGCCGCCTTGCCGGTATAACAATCTTATCAACGTATTTCACAAACGGACCCGGAAAACTTCCTCTTTCCTTCGAGCGCTCATTAACACCGGTCAGCCATCCTACCGGCTTCTCGATAGTTCCTTGGAAGTAATCAAGTTTCAGGGGGTTCCTGACAGTTAAAATGTCCCCAGCACAGAGCTGCAAGTCCTCCTCTGTGTCCTTTGGGAAGTCATACAGAGCCTCATATTTAACAATTTCACCCATATTGATCAGAGACTGAGTCTAGTCTATATAACTTCTTCCAAGTTCTCACTTGACAAAATTATTCAGCAATCATTTACCTAAAAGAAAAGAGAAAACATTTAACCAGTTTTTTTTCCTCTTGATAGTTCTGGAAAGCCAAAAGCAATATTTTTCTCAACTCTGCTTTTGTGCCCTTTCCAAGACTCCACTGTAGGAAGAACTGCCTACTTTACAGTGCCGGATTAACCATTAGGCAAATAAGGCACAAGCCTTGTTGGCCAGGCAAAAATGATGGGCCATCAAAAGTTGGACTGCAATATTATTTACACTCTATTTTCCGGTATTATTAGGCCAGAAAACTCGGAGACATTCTACTGTTCATTCAATTAACATTTTTGGGCCATTTCCAAAATGTGCCTTGAGGCCAGACCATGCTTAATCCGGCACTGCTACTTTAGTTATAACACTCAGTTAACATTTCTTATTATATAGAATGATTTAATTAAGCATTTTATATCTTTCTATTTATATGATTAATTTTTCTGATTGTTTTTTGTACTACTTTGTATATTATGAAGGATAGGAAGCAAGTATTGTTTGGGGTTTCGCCCAGTCTCTATCCAGGCAAACCATGTCGTTTCATATCTGTATACTCTTCGAAAAATGAATGTTATATTAATATACCATGCCAGATTTACACAGAACGCAATTAACGTCAAGTAACATCAAGATAAACATGCAATACAATCCATTTACCCAGTGCATGACAATCATCATAATGCATGCAACATTTCACAGATATGCTGTCTGCATGCTCTGCGAAAAAAGCACCAGAGTGACTGATTTGTCAGAACATTTTCTGTCAGTGTCACGCAAGTTCCTGGTGTATTACCGCATTTAAAACTCCTCAGTTGGGATGAACATTATATGCAGGAGCGTTATGACTGAGATCTGTTTCTGTTCCATTACTGCATAAAACTCCTCAAAGGCTTTAAATAAATTCACTCTTCAAGGCTGTTCCAACATGTCCATCTATGATTTAATTGAGTCACATTCACTGCTGATCAACTAAGAATATAATACTGAGAATGCCCAAATTTCTTTGTATCTTTGAAGATAATAAATATCCTTGTATCTTGTTTTAACTTGTACCATATATATCCTATATTTTTGGTACTGTTGTTGCATGTTGCTGACATGGTTCTGTGTAAAATAGGCTCTTTGACTATACCAAAAATAAATTTGCTACAACGACTAATGACAACATACAACACAAGTTTATACAGTCTCTACATAGCTCTGCTTCACTGCGGTAGCTAATACTAAAAATGTGTTCAATAGATCAAATCATAATTGCTCAATAATACTGTTAATAACAATAACACCAATTTAAATATTACCTTAATGGATTTAAAAATGCATAGTTGTTTCATACTGTATGGAATAACAAAAGAAATATACATGGACTTCTGTATATATTTCATCTTAGCAACTACAGTAACACATTAGTGAAACATCATGATAAATATTTCATGATTTCTCCCTACTCAAACACGGTCACACCCTGTGTCGGTTGTCATCAGCGGCTGGTGCTACTCCATGGAGAATGCAGTGTTTATAATAAAATTAGCTCAGTCTGCACACAGGCAAACTGCAGAGGGCGTTGCATCACCGAGTACACATTAATCGATTTCTTGAACCATGGTACTCATTGAATATAAGATCAATAAAACACAATGTGAAGCATCCTCCACTCTCTCAGGTGGTATTATGTAATTCAAGTGAGACTACACACAGACTCAACTTCGCAAAATGGGTTTGCGTCATGTGAGCAAATCCATGTCCTTTTAATACTGTTTTATTTTTCGCCGAGGCCTATATGCCTATATTTTAATAGAGATGTCACCAATGCCGTAGCCAGCTATTGGGACAGTCCCACGTAATTCGTCTATTTGGGTCCACAAAATAAGGGTCCACATTTTTAAAAATGGGTCCAAATTATGCAATTGTATACATAAAATGAGCCAATTTTTTTTTTCAATGGGTCCAGATTTCTAATATTTAGCCAAAATGGATAAAATTTTAAGAAAACAGGTCCAGATTTTTCATATTTTTGTGTGAAATGAGTAAACTTATAAGAATATTGGTCCACATTATTTTTAAATTTACGCGTAAAGTGGGTCCACTCTGATACTGTCCCGCACTGTTTGAACATTCTGGCTACGGCATTGCATGTCACAAGTTATTCACACAGTGGTAGCACCAGCATCTGAAACTGGGGCAGGTGGAGGCCAAGTGAGGGGAAAGGTAAAAATTTAAGGTGCCCCAATATGTTTTCCCATACAGTAGCAGACTTGAGATACAATTTAAGGCAAGAGATAAGGGAAAATTAAAACATTGAGCTAGTACTGATCATGATCAGCACACTACCAAAAGAGGAAATTCCCTGCGTCAACCTAACTGAAGCGTTTGATATGATTGGGTGTGGGGGGGGGGGGGTGAGATAGCAGAAAATCCCCCCAACCTGCCACCACTGCAACCATAAGTATCTCCTTAAATCAATGTATTATTTGTTATGTGATATTTCCAGAAAATTCCACAGTTAGGCTTCAGTGGGGAGAAATACATGTTCTTCCTGGCCACTCATTATTGTTAAAGAGCAAGGATTACATTTAAAGTACTCTCTAATGGGACTAAACTAAGTGTGCGCCAATATGCGCACACAAGTTAAAACTTGCTAACTTCCTTGTATCTGTTATAATACACTTTGATGTCATTGTATACTATAAGTGATTTAATCAGGTAGATTATGCTGTGTTCATTAGAACTCGTGAAGTCAGTGTTTCCCAGTTCAAAAATTGTGAAACATGTTTATCTGTTCGGTGAACTTGTAAACACAAGTTGTGAACTCGAGTAGAATTTTCTTCCTCGATTTGCACAAGTAGTGTGGAAAATGGTAGATGTAACACAAACAGATGTACAGTATTTATTGCAACTTGTTTAAGTAATATTATTTCAGATAAAAAAAGTGTTTTTTGTATTTATTTGCAACCTCATGATTTGCACTGTATAACGTTCTGAATGCACTTTACAGAGTCCTAATTCAAGCTTTTTTACATAGGCTAGGCCTAGGCGCACATCCATGTGAGGGCGCTTGTCAAAATCACATGAATGCATTCTTCTCATGTTCTCACATGTTACAAGTTGTGAAATCATTTTTCACAAGCTCTAATGAACACAGCATCAAATGTAGAATCTTGATTGATTAAATAACCTATAGAACTCTCAAGATTTGGATAAAGTCTAATATCAGGCAATCATTAGATAAAATTTGTATATTTTAAGTGAACTGCTGTAGCAAGTTTATTTTAGACAATGGATGCGAAAAATGCATTATGATGAGATCAGCTGGCTCAGTCGGCTACACTGGTGGTACCCACTGTGTGCGATGAACGTGGAGATCTCTTGGTCCCCGTTTCAACACCCATCGCTGCCCTCCTTTTGTTTCAGCTGGAGGGCTGCAATGCAAGTTTCTAAAGTGCGTTGTCTTTCAGATGAGACGTTTAAGTCATTGTTCCTGTATGCAAAGTGGCTCATGTGCACGTTAAAGAACACTAATACACTCTCCAGTAAAACAGTGGGATTGTCTCCTGGTGTACTGTGCAATTCACCACCAGAAGGACCCCAGTGGAAATAAATCTCAGGACTTCCGTAGGTTGAGGCGAGTCGAGTGGCCAAGCAGTAAGGCAGGGGCGCCGCTAGCTACAGCCTTAATATCGGCGCTGGTTCCAGCCGCTCCTCGCCCATGGTTCAGTCGGTAGAACCAAGTCTTTTCGGATAAGGACTTAATACATGAGCCAGTGTATACATCTGGCTCGTGTGCACTTTAAAGAACCCATTGCATCTTTCGAAAGAGTAGGGGGTTACCTCGATATTATGGTTTATTTCAACCCCTGTCGTTGTGGAACGATGTGAACGTGTATCTACCAAGAAGCGCCTCTTTATGGCTGCTAGTTGGTCACGGACCACGCCCATATGCAATTCAGCACGATAACGCTGCAAGTTATGGGTTATTCTCCTACCTTTACCTTTTACCTTTTTTATCTTTGGAGTGTACTACACCAAAGAAATCCAATCCAATCCATAAGCACTTACTGTATTATGGAACCAGATTATTAGGGCTCTATCTAATGTGTAGGCCTAAAGAATGCAAGTTTAAACTTTTTGCAGCTTTGAAACGGCGATGCAAGTTAGAAGGAAATAAGCTCATTTTCTGATGGACCTCCTGTTAGCTGGTGTGCCCTCTCTCGTAAAACCATCATCCCCTGGTCATATTGGTGCACTCCACCACAAATCAGCGTTTATACATTTTGATTCTCTAAATCTTTTTAAATAACGTATTGGATTAAAGTCCCAGTTCTTTTACTTTTCAAGTCTTACTTTTGATCCAAAATGATGGCATCGATGGCCACAAGCTCATTATTGAGTTTAACAACATACCCAATTGAAGGCTGCACTAAATGTAAATTGATAAGCTTTAATATTGGCTGTTGTTGCCATTTGCTGATGAAAATAAAACCAGAAAACCTCAAAGCTATGTCTATAAATCAAAAAATATTTAAATTAAATCAGAAAGATAATAGCATTCACTTAGAAAATATTCACTAATTTTTGTGATGATGTGCTTGGCGTGTAGTGGCATGCGCATTTTAAATATTGCTGAGATATCACCGACTACCACAACCATCAACTTGAGAAGGAATAATGGAATGAAATCTTTTTTAAAAAGTGTCTTCCAATCCACAAAGCGCCTAGTCACCAGGGGCGGATTTAGGGGGCCGGGCTGGCTCCTGTACCAACTTTTGGAGAATTAAAAAAAAAAAGAAAAGAAAAAAGAAAAAAGAAAAATAAATAATCGATCGTCCAAAACACCCCTATTTTCGGGCGTTATACTGGCTGTTGTTGCCATTTGCTGATGAAAATAAAACCAGAAAAAAGAAAAAAAGAAAATAAATAGTTGATCGTCCAAAACGCCTCTGAGTTTATTTTCAGGCGTCTAGAAATCAGAAATTTTGCAGGGAATTCCCCGGACCCCCCACCCCCGGTAGTGTTGTCTCATCGGCCCCACTTCCAAACATTTCAATCCACCCACGATTACCTAAAAATTTGGTCATCGACAGCAAAGACGTGAATGGTCAGAAATCATAAAAATTATTTGAATATGATTACAATATATGAATGGTGGTGGTGTGTCTCTTTACCCTCATATCTCCCCAACAATACTTCCTTCTTCGACTCTACAATACAGTCTACAGATTTTACGGTTGTTTGGGAAAAAATGTATTACTAAGAATGGTGTTGCACTATAGGTATAAAAAAAAAGATCGTGATAATGTACTAGATCAAGCCTCATATCTAGGCCTAGCCTACTCATCATAGAAAAACCTGGGTCCTGGCAATCCTCCTCTTAGGGCCTAGGCCTAGCTTTGGTTTGAGTCTGACTGTTGAATGAAGTAGACATAATAATAGAGGGTGATCAATCGATGATTGAGTACAGAAACTTTCACACAAACATTTCTCAAGCATGCATGTACCTTGCCACCTCGGCTTCCTATCCCCCTGATTGTTCTTGCATTTCATTCGCTTCCAATATATGAGTTTCGAGGATTCCAATTAGACAACCGGCTAAAATGGATGCTTGATCTTCAGTCCTTTGATTGCCTCTTCTCGCAGAGTCTTCACACACTTTTTCGCAATCCAACCCCAGACCTCTGGCCTACCGAGCAAAGATAAACCAGGAAGTACAATTAATGGCACCGCCGTGGATGTTCGCACTAATGATGATGTCACACCCAATACCTATACGTCATTTGCATCAATACCGCCCTCAAATTTTAAAGCCCGATGAGAGCATGGAGGATTACTTAGGATCTGTGGTAAAATACCATGGAACCATAGAGATATCATATATAGTGAACGAGCACCTCACGGTAAAACCAAAGCAATTAAATTGCCGTAGTAAAATAAATGTATTTGTTCCACCGACCTCTTGCAGGATGATTAAAGATGTGCTATCAGTCAAAAATACAAGGAAAGTACTTCAAATAGAAATAAAATTTCAATTGAATAGCTCATCGATCAAATACATATTAGCTTTCTATGAGATCGAAAAAGTAGTTTTCACCTTATACCAATTTACAGACATTTTACTACAAAATCTGTAATTTTTTGCAGATATTTAAGGATCTAGGCGCGCAATTGAATACAGGAAAGCTAGCTATTTTCATTGATTTAACTGTCCGGAACTTGACGGGAAGGTTTTTTTTTTTTTCGTTTATTTTTGTTTTTGTTTTTTTCTTATTCAGATTTATAATTTAAGTTATTATAATAATATTAGGTAAGTTATTAATGTCAAATTAAAAATAACTATACAATAGAATTTCTCATTTGGGACACTCCCTATTACGGGAAACACCAGAGGGACATTTTCCCGCCGAGGGGGACATTAATTGAACTCAACGGTCATCCCTCATTATATAAATGGGAACTTTCTGAGTGTGCCAAATTTCGTATCACTTCTTTTTTTGTCTTGTATATAAGTTGGTCTCCTGGGGGCGTCCTAAATAACAACAACACTTCCTACGCGACAGAGCCAAGCAAGCCAAATGCACATAAAGTAAATACTCATTATTGAGGTGTTATTTGTTGCCAATAATTATATATATTGCTGTTGATATTGTTGCTTGGCTGATACGTAAGTAAGAAACCAAGATTATTAATGAAGAATAGGCCTAGGCATACCGTACCTACTAGGCCTCTAGCTAGCCCAGGCGGTCATCTAGGCTAGCTAGTGGCCCATGCCTAGGAAGATCGACTAGTTAGAGATGGCCTTAGCCGTGTGAGGATTTAGCGACTGGAATTCTCATGAAGTACATAGTATTATAATAGCCCTATTGATTTCTGATAAATAATTTTCAATTGATGTCAACAACAACAATGACAAAATAACAAAAAAAAAATTATTATTTATAAAAAGGATTGTAAACAATAACACATCAACAATGCCTGGTGGTAGTAGTAACAACAACCACAATGATAAACAACAACAACCACAGTGATTAAAAACAAAATGATAGTTACTAATAGTAATTACAAAGCAAACCACAGTCCACAGTGAGTGGTAGCAACAATGAGATTACCTTTACCAAAAAACAAAAATTAAATGATAATAATTAAGTTAAAAAAAAAACAATTTTTGTTTTTGCTCTCTGATGTAGTGATGATCTATTTTTATTTAAAAAAAAGTGGTGGTGATACATAAATAAACATTCTCAACATAATCTATTTATTGTAATGAAGATCAAGGTGAGCATCTACATCTAGATCAACCAGCCATCCTGGCAAAGTGCCACTGGTACAAAGCATCCAGATCAACCAGCCAATCCTGGAAAGGTGCCATCGGTACAAAGCATCCAGATCAACCAGCTATCCTGGAAAGGTGCCATCAGTACAAATCATCTAGATCAACCAGCTATCCTGGAAAGGTGACATCGGTACAGAGCATCCAGGCCATCCGTCCTGGAAATGTGATACTACAATAGTCCCAGTTCTCTGCCATCCACTCTTTCGGTCATGGGCCTGAAGCTTACCGACTGTAATGTATGGTGGAACTGTTTGAATCCGTATGCTGATTAAGGTTGCAGACTAGAATTGGAAAGTTAATAGTGAGTAGATCTACAGTAAAGTAATTGTGAACAATATAACTTCATACAGTATATACTTTTTTTTTTGTAATTTGTTGCTTTGTCTGACAGAGGTCAAATAAGTCAAGGTTAGATGTTAGGGGAAGTAGGTCTATACATTCAAGTAAAAGACTATTATCAAGCGGAGAAAAATTTCAACAAAATATCCTACTGTATCAGAAAGTATTTGGCCTAAATTGTAACTAATTTATTTTTCTTCTGCTAGATGAAATGCTGATCATAAATTGAAGGGCAGACAGTTGTAGGATGAGAAGAATTTCATCACTTGTTCTCATTCTCATCGTTGGTGCTCTCTTCCTCATGCTTCAGATGTTCATTATTCATAAACTTCTTGAAAGGAACAAATCTGAGGTATGTGTCTTTCATTTAAGGACATTTCTGAATTAATTAATTTTAATCCATATTGGAACATCTTGAATAGTTCAAATAATTGTTTGGCTTTGATATGATTTGTGATTTTTAAACTATGATTTATTTTTTTTTTTTTTTTTGGTAATCTAGATATTAAACTTTCTATTGAGAAACACCTTCCCCAGTAACTCACTGATGAAATATATATACAGTAGAACCCCTCCTTTGGGACACCCCTATTATAAAGGAACACTTTTTCAGCCATGAAATGAGCAATATCTTTTAACACAATGGCCAACCCCAATTCAGAGGACACCACTTTTAAGGGGACACTTTTTTTTGGTCCCAAAGTTGTCCCCTTAATAGGGGTTCTACTGTATTATCTTGAATAATGAATTCAAAGGTTATATCAAGTGTGATTGATTTTCTTGTGTTTTGCATAGGTACTGACTGTGAATAGCCAGGCACCAGTGCAGTATGTAAGTTGGACCATGGAGATGTTATTGAGAAGGAGATCACTCGAAAAAGCTTTGCGCACGCAGTGCTATTTAAATGAGGCAAGAACAAAGCTGCCTTTGCGTGTGAAGAACGCTTGCGCGATGCCTTTGAAGTCTGATGTGTTCCCCGCCACCAAATGCTGAGCAGGCTTTAGTTTACCAAAAAATTGAAAGAACATGGAGAAATGGAGAGCACCTTCTTTTCTCAATGCGCACAACTTACAGTCAATCACTATGGCTGCGCAATCATTTCCACCTTGAAGCTAACACATTTATCTTTCAAAAAATACCAAACATAATAATATTTTCTACAAATAAGAGTTTCGAATTTAATGAAACATTTACACCAGCTTTAAAAGTATGGTATATTTCAACTTAAATAAATTGGATAAAACTTGATAATTCTAATTTTAACAGGTGTTAATAAAGGAATGATTGAGGATTATAATATTAACTAAGTCATTTTCGGGTTAACGAGGGTTAACTATTTGAAAATTAAATCCAAAATCAGAGTAATTTTCTGTTTTACACTGCCTTAACTTTATAGTCGAACCAATAACACACTAAAAGTCCAAAAAAATCCAATCAGGGGAACATTGTTAATTTTAAAGATATTTAATGAGTTAAAATCAAACGGGTTATCGCACAACTGCTGTATTGAAGCGTATAAACACATGTCGTTGCTAACGAAAAAATGTGAATAATAAAATAATACGCCCACGCACGATCCAAAGGCGGGGAACACATTGGTTTGTCACGTCAAAGGATCTGTTGCCGAGTGATCTCCTTTTCAGTAATACCTCCATTGTTGGAATGTCCAATATTATGAAATTGTCTGTGACCAATATCTGTGATTTGCCTTTATACAATTGTCCAAAGTCTCCCGTAAGTAGCCTCATAAATCAGGAAGGTCTCCTGCACTCAGGTGAACCAGGCTCCCGAAAATTCACTATATTTGCAAGTTTTGACTGCTGTATTACCAATTGTCTCCCTGAAGTCTGTGCCAATA